GGGAGGCGCTTTCGGGGTGTGCTGGATCTGTCTTTCTAGAGCAAGGGATGCGATGTTGAGCGGCGCGGGGCGCTGGCCGGGCCTTTCAGGGCCGAGGTTTGCGCCCTACTCTTCATCCGCGTGCCTCCCGCTGTCCGGGACGCGCAGCCAGCCCCCGGGCACAGCGAGGGAGCCGCTCAGGCGCTAGACGCCTGTAACTCCGGGACCACAGGGCGACAGGCTCGGGGCAGCCATGCTGGGGCACGCGGGTGCAGATGGGCAGTGGGAGGTACGCGGGACGCTTGTGAGTCCTCGTGCCTCGTACTCCGTGGAGCTGGCTGCTGGAAGAGGGAGCTGCTTCAAGATGAGCCCCACGGACCCGGACGCCTAGGAGCCCAGAGTGGGTCTCCCGGCCTGTGGCCTGTGTCTACATCCCTGCTCAGAGCCATGCCTTTGCCTGCCACCCTCTGTGTGCTGAGCTTGTGTGGCTGTGTCCCCTCCCTTGTGAGTCTCCATCCGCCCACCCTCTGCTTCTTGGAGCTTCCTGCAGCTCCAGCTGCCGGCAGCCGGTGCAGAAGATAGCATGGGGAGATGTGGGCCAGCCTGGTGCCACTGGGAGGCAAAGACACTTGTGTCCCCGAGACTGAGAGACCCAAGGAAGTATCAGACATCAGGCCCTTGCAGGCCTCCCCCTTTTCAAATCCTCCTTGTGTTCAGGGGATGTCCTGCCTCCTCTGCTTCTGACTGAGCAGGGATCCTTCCAGCTTCAGCCTCCCTGGGGATAGAGGCCAACATCCCTGGCATCAGGGTATAATCCTGTGGCAGCCAGTCCCAGTCCCAGGCATGTCCCCCTGACTTGGTCCGTGGGTCCTGAAATGCTCAGCACAGCTCTGCCATGTTGGGGTCACCCTGGGGATCAGGTTTCCCCTGAAGCCAGCTCCTGGGATTGTCCTTCTGATGGCTCCATGGACTGTGGAGCTCACCCTTAGAGAACTGGGTTCTCTGTGAGATCTGAATGTACACTGGGGCAGGAGAGGGGGCCGTGGTGGCTCCAGAGGCCAGCACATAGGCCAGAGCTGTCGGCCCTGATGGGCCTGTGACCATCCCATTGGGGTGGGGCTGGGCTGCCAATGCTTCCTGGCTCCCTGGGCCTCCTGCTGACACTGCTCTCCTGGGTCCTTGGCCTCTTTTCCTCCATTCCTGCTGGCTTTGGCTGGCTTCCTGAGACTCTCAATGATGTAGTCTTTCTTAGCTGAAGATTTCTTCTTTCTGTTAGCTCCACTCCCTTTTCCCCATGGCTCCCTAGGCTCTGGACTATTGTCTGCTGGGTGTCACCAGTGGGTGGAACATAGTCACATGCATGGGTTCTGCTCAACTCTTGCTACCTGGGCCTACTTGTTCCCTGCCCTGGGTGTGGGAATGCCTTGCCCCTGTGGGTGGAACATAGTCACATGCATGGGTTCTGCTCAACTCTTGCTACCTGGGCCTACTTGTTCCCAGTTGCTACTCACTCCAGCTGGGTGAGCTCTCCATGTGGGGCCCTGAGCCCAAGAGATGGGGTGAGAGGACACCTCTTTGGGTCCTGGTCTGCTGCTAGGAGTGAGAAACCCAGCCAGGTCCTAACTGCCCTATTTAGGGGCAGTCATTCCCCATCCCAGACTCCTGATGGGCAAGAACAGTACCCTTGGGTTCCCTCCCCAGACGGGCCCTGGCCCTGCCATCTTGTGTTTAAATGATCAAATTACTGCAGTCTAACAAATTCAGTGATAGGAAATTGTTGGGTAGGCTGGACCTTGGGTGACTTGAGTGGGGAAAGTTTTCCCTGACCACTCATGACTACTTAGAGTGTCTGGGCCATTTTGGCCAATCTGAGCCTCTTCCACCAGCTTTTGGATACCTCTAGAAGCCATCAACTCTTGGCCCTTGCTCCCCGCTGCCTGGCGTTCTGCACTTGGGGCTCCCTGCACATTTGGGGGCATCTGCTGGTTTGCATGCCAAGCCCTTCCCTGGATGGGCTGTGAAAGGGAACCAGCCTGGGGTGTGAGCTGAGTGGGTTGGGGACTGCAGAGGCACATGGAGGGCACAGGGATCAGTTCTGATGCACCAGGCTGGAAGGCTTGGGCTTGCTGTGTTGCTCTTGGCATGTGGTGGATGCACAGCAAATCTTTGTGGAGTCGGTGACTGAACGGAGAATGAGGGTGAGGGCTCCTAGGTGGGTGACCCAGCACTGACAAGGGCCTGGAGGTGGGGTACGCTGGAACTGGAGGAGAGTACTTGCCATAGAGTGACTCATGCAGGGCACAGAGGGCACTGAGCAGGTGGCACAAGACAGAAGAAGGTCTGAGGAGTGTAGGCCAATTCTGTATTTAGAATTTCAGGGTTGGAGTTCTACATCAGGGTTCTGGGTTAGGGTTGCAGGGTTGGGATTCTGGGTTGGGTTTGTGGTGGGAAGCAGAGGTGGCAGTGGGCTCCCCAGAGTGATGTGGGCACCCTGGTTGGTGTCAAGGGTATCAGGAGGGACAAGCATCACCTGGGCCACTGCCTGGGCATGCAGGTAGAGGTGGAAAGTGTCCTGGAGTCACAGGTGCAGCTCCAGCCTGTGTTGCTTGCATTACCATGTCTGTAAAGTGGACATCTATGCTTGTCTCCCTGGGGGACTTGAGTGGAGTTGTGTGGACTTTTGTGACCTCAGAAGTGGGGTGCAGAGGGAAAGGGATGAGAGGGGCAGCAGGGTTAATTAACAGAGGAGCTTGAGGTCCAGAGAAGGGTGGTGACTGTAACAAGGTCACATGGCAAGCTAGGGCTTGGGCACTTAAGCCTGGTGTTCATGGCTGGCTGGGTATCCTGTGTGGGGTCCAGGTCCTCCAGGCCCCTGCTGAGGATGTCCTCGGGCAGTGGCTTTGACCGTCCAGCTGTTGGGGAGCATAGGAGCCATATGGCCATATCAGGGGTGGGTGGGCTGCTGGAAGAGGGACAGAGGCTGCCACCATGGCCTTCTTAATCTATGTGGGAACTGCTAGTCCCCAGGGTTAGGGTGGGAGAAGGCCAGAATAGACCCTTATTGTCCAGGTTGATTTGAACTCAGAGGTTGGGCCTTGGCAAGTGGCCCAGTTCTTGCACCCATCTGCCAGGGCAGCTGGACAGGCGGCTCCATGCCCAGGACTGATCCAATTAGCTCCAGGCCAGCTGTACCAGCCGCCCCCTTTTTGCACGTCCCACCTGGCTCTGATGGCCCTACTGGTGGCACAGTGTCTCCACGGCCTGGGTCTCAGGCCTCCATGGAGCCTACGTGTAGGCATGGGATCCTCAGATGGCCTGGGACAGGGATCAGTGGGCCTGTGCTGGATGCTAGAGGGGGCTGGGTTTGATTCTGGGTCAGACTCTTGGGCAAGGTACTCCAGTCCTGAGCCTCCCTGACCCCGTCGATATAGTGAGAATGCTGCTAACCTAGTGGAAATGCCAGCAGCAGGCTTAGCAATAATCTCATGCACCATGCAGTCTTGGGCATTATTAGCTTGTGCTTTGTTCTACAGGGAGAGGGAGGAGAGAGCCATGCTGGGCTCAGTGTCCAGGCTGAAGTCAGGAGGAGCCTTGCTGTTATCATTTTCCGGGACAGACATGCTCGCTAATCCCCCTGTGTGTATGCCTGTCTTGTTTGGCCTTCATGGCAGCTCTGTGATGTGGGCCGAGCAATGCCCCACTTCTCAGATGAATTGAGGAGGTGATTCTGCGGGACACCGTGAGGTGACTGGACCCTGTCTGTGGATCTCCTGGCCCAATGTTTCTGTTCCTATCTGGCTTCTCAGATGTCTGGGTGGGGACGTAAAGTGGCTTTGTCTTTTGTTCCAGCAATCACCGGGACCAGCCCCATAGCTGGCATGAGGGAAGCTTGAGGCGCAGCACTGGCTGCATTCTGTCTGCCCAGTGTGGGGACAGGCCAGAGGAGTGAGGCCCAGGCTCAGCCACCTTGGCATGGTGTGTGGATCCTGGGCTCCTTCCTGAGTAGCCATGTGACCTCGAGGAAATCACTGTCTCTCTCTGAGCCTTAGTTTCCCCTTTGTAAATTGCAGAGATCGCTCTCCCACCCTGCCCACAAGGCCATGTTTGAGGCTCCAGTATAAATGTGTGTTTTTGTAGCTTGGTGGGTACACGGTGACTGTGGCAGTCCCTGCCCTATTGTTTTACCATCTTGTGATTCTTCTGTGATTCTCCTGTTGGGTGGTTTCTCTGGGCCTGGCTGTGCTGGCTTCTTCAGGGACAGGATGAGTAAACTCAGCCTTGGCCCCTGGGGTTGCAGCCTGGTGACTGGATGTTCTTCCTGGCATACACTGGCAGCTCTGATCCCTGGGGGCCACCAGCTGGACTCCCCAGCACCCTTGTCACCTCACCCTTCTGCTTTAGCCCCTTGTCCTCTGTATTCTTGGGAGCCAGATTGTATCCACCTGCCCTTCCCACAGAGGGTGGCTTTCCCGCCTCCCTGATGTGACTTGTGCTGTCTCCTCTGGCTTTGAGTCCTGCCCCCACCTCTACCCAAGCAGATCCTCCTACTTTCTGAGCAGCCCAAATGCTACAGTTATAAAATCCACTCCTGGTCACGCTTGCTGGAAGCTGCTGTCTTCCTCCGCCTCAGTGGTGTATCCACTTTGAGTTTGGGAAACACTTGCCCATTTGCTGGGCACCTCATTGTGTGAGGCCTGGGTGCCATTTGTCTTTGTGGCTTGGATTTGCCTTGGTGGCACAGCTTGGACTTACCCGTCTTGGGTGTCTGGTGTGCACAGGGGCCCGATCAGCTGGTGGGGCATGTGGTATACTCCCTGGGGCCTCTGTGGCCACTGCCACTTCCTTGCTGAGTGGTCTCCTGGGCCCTTGGGTGTGTGTGAGGACCAGGATGCTGTCTGTGGCTCCTGGGTTATGGGCATCCTTCCTGCTGAGACACTCACCGCAAACCCGGCCCTTCTTGCCCCCAGAGGCTCCCCCCAGGCTGGGGTGGGGCTGCCCATCACTGGCCACACATAACTCTCCCCAATGAATTGCATGGCATTCAGCAATTAGCAATTGATTATTTAGGGAACTGATAACTCTTCTCCCATCGACCTGTGGAGGCAGGCCTGGCCGGCATTTGTGTGGGTCAGTTGGCTGGGCTGGGAGATTGAAATCTTGGCTGTTTATCCCTAGCCAGGGAGGTTGCTAAGCAGGAGCTGAAAAACAAAAAGAGGTGCAGTCCCCCACCCACCTCTGGCCTGCACCACCAGGAGTGAGATAAGGAGTTGGGATGGACAGGGAATTGAGGTAGACAGTTTTTGCTCAGTCCCACCTTGCCCTATTCTCAACTTTATTTTATTTGCTATTTTTGGAGACAAAGTCTCACTACCTAGTCCAGGCTGGCCTTGAACTCACAGA